ACCTTGACTTTAGCAAGGCTTTTGATACGGTCTCCCACAATATTCTTGCCAGCAAGTTAAGGGAATGCGGATTGGATAAATGGACGGTAAGATGGATAGAAAGATGGCTAGAAGGCCGGGCCCAGCGGGTAGTGATCAACGGTTCGATGTCAGGATGGAGGTCGGTTTCTAGTGGAGTGCCCCAAGGTTCGGTTCTAGGACCGGTTTTGTTCAATATCTTTATTAATGACCTGGATGAGGGGATAGATTGCACCCTCAGCAAGTTTGCAGATGACACTAAGCTAGGGGGAGAGGTAGATACGCTTAAGGGCAGAGATAGGGTCCAGAGTGACTTAGACAAATTGGAGGATTGGGCCACTAGAAATCTCATGAGATTCAACAAAGACAAGTGTAGAGTCCTGCACTTGGGACGGAAGAATCCCAAGCATAGTTACAGGCTGGGGACCAACCAGTTAAGTAGTAGTTCTGCAGAAAAGGACCTGGGGGTTACAGTGGATGAGAAGCTAGATATGAGTCAACAGTGTGCCCTTGTAGCCAAGAAGGCTAATGGCATATTAGGATGCATTAAGAGGAGCATTGCCAGCAGATCCAGAGATGTCATTATTCCCCTTTATTCGGCTTTGGTGAGGCCACATCTGGAGTACTGTGTCCAGTTCTGGGCCCCCCACTACAAAAAGGATGCGGACGCATTGGAGAGGGTCCAGCGGAGGGCAACCAAAATGATTAGGGGTCTGGAGCATATGACCTACGAGGAGAGGCTGAGGGACTTGGGTCTGTTTAGTCTGCAGAAGCGAAGAGTGAGGGGGGACTTGATAGCAGCCTTCAACTTCCTGAAGGGAGGTTCCAAAGAGGATGGAGAGAGGCTGTTCTCAGTAGTGACAGATGGCAGAACAAGGAGCAATGGTCTCAAGTTGTGGTGGGAGAGGTCCAGATTGGATATTAGGAAAAACTATTTTACTAGGAGGGTAGTGAAGCATTGGAATGGGTTACCTAGGGAAGTAGTGGAGTCTCCATCCCTAGAGGTGTTTAAGTCTCGGCTTGACAAAGCCCTGGCCGGGTTGATTTAGATGGGATTGGTCCTGCCTAGAGCGGAGGGCTGGACTTGACGACCTTCTGAGGTCTCTTCCAGTTCTGATTCTATGATAAGGGGATGGTTGGATGAAATAACATGATCTTGGTAACTAATTGACCATTCATTTCCAGTTGGAAATAGGTCAATGGAGGGATGATAGGAGTTGCTATAGGGAACTTTCTGGGTGTCTGGCTGGTGAGTCTTGCCCACATGCTCAGGGTTTAGCTGATCGCCATATTTGGGGTCAGGAAGGAATTTTCCTCCAGGGTAGATTGGCAGAGGCCCTGGAGGTTTTTCGCCTTCCTCTGTAGCATTGGGCACAGATCACAGCTGAAGGACTCTCTGCATGTTGGGGCCTTCAAAGTATTGGAAGGCTTCAATATCTGAGACATAGGTGAGAGGATTATTCTAAGAGGGGTGGGCGAGATTCTGTGGCCTGCACTGTGCAGGGGGTCAGACTAGATGATCATAATGGTCCCTTCTGACCTTAAAGTCTATGAGTCTATGAAAATCAGGATCTAAGAATAATGAGTATGTGTCTAAATCAGAACAAAATATTTGAAACAAGACCCCAGAGGTAAACATCCCTTATTTTGCACTCAATGTTCAAAAGCTGTGTGTGTTATGAGGAAAAAACCCTAAATTTAATGTATAAATTAAATCTGCCTCAAGCTCTCCAGCTGCTTTACTTGACAGATAGGCACTTATCCATATGCAGCACATCTTACTGAAACTGGCAGCACTGAAGGGTTAATAACATTTACTCAGTTGTTCAAGTTTTCTGCTATATTTGGAACAGTAGAATTTCTTCCCCAGCAATTATGCACATTTTCGCCTAATAAACTGTTTTTCCTAAAAATTGTAGCACAAAATCCCTTTTATTTTAACCTACAAAGTGCTAGCACCTTGTTCAAGTGGTTGAGCCCCTGAGCATCCACTGAACCTCATTGCTTTGGAGTCCAATAAAACACCCTTGATTGCCTTCTTCCCTGTATCAATGGATGGTTATCCTAATAAAATCCATGTGTTCCCTGCACCTTTCCTTTCACCTTTAGCTTTCCCTAGTTAGTATTATTTTTCAAGTAAGCTAATGTTCAAGAAGAGTCATACTAATTACCTTGGGATAGTCAGGAATAGGTACTTCATTACACGGTTGGCCTGGATGAGAGTGATATAAAGATGAAATGTTCCTTGCCTAATATCCTGAGCCATCCAAACTCTAGCTTGAAAATATGAAAACCTTGTTCTTTGGGAAGATACGCATCTGCATCTGTCAAGATACATATATAGGGTGATTTATATAAAGTAATTAGCTAATTAACATGTTTATGCTACAAATAATTTCCTCTATGTTGGACGTCCATACTGCCCATCAAATGATGTTATTGAGGTCTCTTCTTCTGACATCCCATTTTTTTATTTTTCAGGTGATAATCTTATGCTGTTGACATGCTCTTATAGTAATGGTGCATCATTAATCATCCCATTCTGATGTTGCTTGTCTCTTACTCTTTTATCTTACCATATTGTTGCTGCTGTATCTTATAAAATTTTTCCTTGCAAATGATTTTTATGCATGTCATCACATTAATTAAAGTTTCCTCCTAATCCTCTATCTCACCCAGCATTCACAGTGAATCTGATTATTATCTTGTGATCTTGGGAAATTCCTGATAGGTACAGATAGTGCCCTAAACACATCCGGTGTCAACTATGTAAGGATAGGAGAGTCTTTACTACTGTGGAATAACAGATTTTGGATCTTTGCAGAGCAATTCTGCTCAATGCTGCCTTCATCTATGCTGTCAAATATAATGGCTCTGTGTCGGGATAGAGGATTTACTCCTCGTTCTGGAGATTGTGTGGAAAAATTAATCAGGTCTGAGAACCAGAACTGTCTTGGCCATGCCAGTACCAGCATGATAATTACAGTTGCAGGCTTCCATTGGAACCTATGCTGAAGAGTCCAAAGGTCTAGGACCTAGAGATGCTCTAGGTGAAATCCCAATTGAGTGTGGAATCCTTTATCACTAGTGTCTTAAATGGCAATGGTGAGGAAAAAGAGAGTCCTACCAACTGAATGAGAATAGGACTTCTAGGTGACTTTTATGGGAAGATATGAAGATTTTTAACCATGCAACTTAGGTGGAGTATGGCATACAATGTTATGTAAATGCAGGAGACTATGGGATCTAGACATCTGAGGTATACTTGTCCTTAGGTTTGAGAACGAGCCTGTAAATAGTTGATGAGAGCTATGATGATGTTTAGGCAAATAAACTTTGCTGCTTTAGACTATAAATTATAGCCTCTGGGTTGGTACTAATACTGACTTTTATATGCTGACTTTGTGACCTGGGGCAGTAAAATGCTAAAGCGTTTGATGAATGGAGCTGGTCACATGCTGTGTGATTTCTCCAGAATAAATCAATTGTTGAGGACTCTCTCAAGGCAATAGAAATGGTCATAGATTTTGTATTTGAGATACCTTCTCTCCACACTGGGCACTCAACTGGAGGGTGAGAATGGTGTGCCATCAGCTGACCTTCAGAGACTATCAAGTTACACTTGTTGCAATTTAAGGCAAGTCTTATTCAGCTTTTGTTTTCTTGAACAAGCTGAAATGTCCATTATTAAGTGGTAACCCCACATCACAAGAAAGGCAATTCTTAAAATCTGGAGACTTCAGTTCAGCCATAAAGGCAGGAACCTAGTACTAAGGAAGCCTCACAAGGTAAGGAATTAAAAAAAAATTAAAGGGCTGAGGAGGGGAGAAACTTGTGATAAACCCATTAACATTAAATGTGCTAAAACTTCCTGCATTTTATGCACTCTGGGAAGCAGGACAATAGGGTCCAAGTGCAACCCCAGTGGCCATTACTAGCCAAAGATTGTGAGCTTGAGCACAGGGAACATACATCACAAATGGAATAGATAGGAACAAGGATTAAAAAAAATCTGGATTTTCACCCAAGGAGTGTTATTTTTGACTAATGTGAGGACATTTTCCCCTCTGATTGCTTTTCCTTCTCCTTCTCCTTCAGATGAATGAAGAGCATCAGGTATTTCTGGACTTCTTTCTAGCAGATTTGGTTCATTCTTTCTGAGAGCAGAGAGATGCTGTGAACAATGAACCTAGCTTAATACTTCATTAGAAATGAGCTTCATATACATCCACGTAATTTGTTCCACTCACTTACCAACCATTTCTATAATGGTATTAATAAGAAGAATTTTACAAATAAAACAAAAGAAAGGGAGAGGAAATAGTAGTCTCCTTTTCCAATTGAAATCTTTCCCATAACTATCCAAAACCAGTGCTGTGATAAATAGGAAAAATTGGTGTTGTACAACGTTTTAAAGAAATAATTTTTGATACACGACATTATCTGAAATAGTAAATAAAATAAGTAAAGAATTGTGAGACAAAACAATACCTATGTAGGTATAGGAGAATCTGGTTCCCTCTAGTGGTATGTTTTATACTAGCATTAATTCAGATTAGGAAAAAATGCATGTGACAGCAGCTGTATGCAGTGATGTAGATATGTTGGGCCCAGGATATTAGAAAGACAAGATGGATGGGAATATATCTTTAACTAAATCAATTTATTTTGGTGAGAGAGACATGTTTTTCAACTGGTCTCCCTTAACAACAGAGGTTGGTTCAAAAAAATACATTACCTCACCCATCTTGTCTCAATAGTGACAGCTATGGATTTTAGAAACTGAGATATTTAGAAAAAACAAACACACACTTTTTCCTTCAGCTCCAATATACTTTTCTGTGAAGTCTGGAAGTGTGGTATTTCCATGTGTAATACTTTCTGTACATTGAACAAATCACTTCATTTTATACTTTCACATCTGTTGATACGACCTACTGAATAGATGCATAAGTCCATCTAATAATATGAATATATTTTACCAGAGATATCATCATCTTCATTCCAACCTGGACGATTCCCTCTTTCTTCTACTATAGTGCCTGTCTTCTTTTTTAGTAAGTATTGACGACCAATCGTCATCTTCCCTGCACGCTTGGCTCCTTTCACAATTGTTTTTGAGAAGGTACTACAATTCAGAAATAAACAACAATACCTGATGTCAAAATGTAGGTAAAACACAATAGTTATCTTTAACTCTCACTAATATTCAGTGTCTATGTCAGTATACCAAAATACATTTTTAGGATGTATCTTTTCACCCACAAAAAGCATGTTTTATAATGTTTTCATTTAATTTAAAGAAAGGAAATGGATGTTAGGACCTCAGAAAATGGCTCCTAATATAATTTTAAATGGTTAGTCCTGAGATTTAAGAAAATGTGCTGTGGCAACACTATTCTAACTATATTCAATAGTAAAAAATAAGCAACTATCTCCTGTTTGTAGATGTTGAATTTTGTTGGCAAAACAGCAACAAAATCTTCCTCATTAACGGATTGAAGACAGGAAAAAAGATCTAAAAACCTCTTTATTTCAGAACTATGTTGGGATTCTAGCCCACTTACCAAAAAAGCACTAATTAATAGAGGAAGACATTAATTATTGTAACAGACTAATAATCTATCTTGTCTAGTAAACGGCCTAATAATAGCAAGTAACATTCATAAATTTCAAGGCCAGAAGGAACCATTGTGATAATCTAGTCTGAGCCCCTACATTTAATTTAAATAAAAAATCATCAGTGATGAAGAATCCACCAGGATCCTTGGTAAATTGTTACAGTGAGTAATTACTTACACTGTTAAAACCTTACATTATTTCCCATATGATTTGTTGAGCTTCAGCTTTCAGATGCTGGATTATGCTTTACCTTTCCCTCCTATTTTGAAGAGCCCATTATTAGATATTGCTTCTCCATGTAGCCACTTATAAATTTTGTTCAAGTCAGCTCTTAACCTTCTCTTTGTTAAGCAAAATAAATCCAATTACTTAAGTTTATCACTATTAAAGCATGTTTTCTAAGCCTTTAATCATTCTCTTGACTCTTCTTTGAACTCTTTTCAGTTTTTTCAGTATCCTTCTTGAACTACGGACACCAGAATTGGAACACCAGTGCCAAACAGAGATAAAATAATGTCTCTATTTCTACTTGACATTCCCCTGTTTATGCATCTAAGGATGGATTACATTAGCTCTTTAAGCAGCAGCATAACTGGGAGTTCCTACATGTATATGTTTATACTAGAAAACTCACTGAGCGTTACCCAGGGAGAGAATGTGGTGGTGGTGAATACAGGCCTCCTGGTGGTGCTCCCCGGGCCCGGCCTGAGGACAGGAGAAGGGCCATGAAGACCTCTCACCAGTGTTCCCTGGGCCTGGCCTGTAGGGATTGGGAAGAAGGTCTGGAGGTGCTGGGGGAGGATTGGTGGGCTGTTGCTGCGCTGCACTGCCTGGCCCTGGCAGTGCCTCAGTGGTGTCAGGTAGAGATTTAGGGGTGGGAGCCACTTACCTGTGCTGGTGACAGGCAAGATGGTGAGCCCTGTGCCCAGTTGTCACTCCGTTGGTAGTGCAATATACTATTAGGTGGTGCAACGTAGGGAGGGGAAGGATAGCTCATTGGTTTGAGCATTAGCCTGCTAATCCCAGGGTTGTGAATTCAATCCTTGCAGAGACCATTTAGGGATTTGGGGCAAAAATTTGTCAGGGATGGTACTTGTTCCTACTGTGAAGGCAGGGGACTGGACTCAATGACCTTTCAAGGTCCCTTCTCTAGGAGATGGGCAATCTCCATTAATTTTTTTTTTGTTAATTTGCAATATAGTGCTCTCCTGTGCTCACTGCCCCCAGTGGTGACTGAATATAGCATCCCTCTACTCAGTCCCCTCCCTTTCCATGTTATGGAAAACAATCAAATTCCAGGCACATCCCAATTTCCTGACACAATCAAACACTGACCATGCTTTAAGTTATGGTAAGAGGAAGCTACATACCAAATATTGTGGTCCTAGCTCTTACCCTTTAGGAGGGGTTGTTGAACAGATGGACTCACAGACAGACCTAGAGACAGAATCACACATCTTTATACACACACACACACACACACACACACACACACACACACACACACACACACACACACAAATGTATAGTATATGCTTGCATCCAGCTTGCCAAGTGATTCAGATTGTTCTATAATCAGTGATCTGTCTTCTTTACTTAATGCTCTCCCAATTGTTATGTTGCCTGCAATTTTCACCAGTGATAATTTTGTTTTTTCTAGTCATTAATAAAAATGTTATACAGAACAGGATCAAAACCTGATCCATGCGGAATGCCACTGGAAACATACATACTCAGGGACAATTTCCCATTGTTTGGCCATACCAAATTAAGGTAACAGTGTTTTATGGTTGGGGGAGGGAGTCTGGGAATCATGAAAACTGCTGAAAAAGGGGGGCAGTGGGTCGCTGACTCATCACCTGGAAATGCAGGGCTTGAAAAGAACACAGCTCAGCCTCCATTTTACACACACCAAGGTTGAGGCAGGACCCAAAATTCAGTCTTGATCTTGCATTAAGTTTCTGCAGGAGGGCTTCATCTTACAGCTTAACTCAACTCTTGTTGCAAAGGGCAATGAGCAGGGAGGATGGGGACAAACTCCCTACCACTGGGCTACGTCTACACTGGCCCCTCTTCCGGAAGGGGCATGTAAATTTCAGCAGTCGTCGTAGGGAAATCCGCGGGGGATTTAAATATCCCCCGCGGCATTTAAATAAAAATGTCCGCCGCTTTTTTCCGGCTTTTAAAAAAGCCGGAAAAGAGCGTCTACACTGGCCCCGATCCTCCGGAAAAAGCGCCCTTTTCCGGAGGCTCTTATTCCTACTTTGAAGTAAGAATAAGACCCTCCGGAAAAGGGCACTTTTTCCGGAGGATCGGGGCCAGTCTAGACGCTCTTTTCCGGCTTTTTTAAAAGCCGGAAAAAAGCGGCGGACATTTTTATTTAAATGCCGCGGGGGATATTTAAATCCCCCGCGGATTTCCCTACGACGACTAGTGAAATTTACATGCCCCTCCCGGAAAAGGGGCCAGTGTAGACGTAGCCAAAGTGATCCCCCGCGGATTTCCCTACGACGACTGCTGAAATTTACATGCCCCTTCCGGAAGAGGGGCCAGTGTAGACGTAGCCCTGGAGTCTCAGAATATGGGTAGGAGCAGAAAGCTCCAGAGTCCAAGTTTACTGAGCTACATTCCCTGTGGAAGTGGAGAAAGAGCGGTGAGTGGGAAGGAGAAAGGAGAAAGCTCTCCATATACTTAGTCTCAGGCAGCATGACTCCTTAAAGACACATAGCAGGCAGGAGAAAAGATTCTCACAGCAGGGGGAGTTGAGTTTTCCTCTCCCTCCTAGTTACTGTTGCAGGAACAAGAAATTAGGGAGTAAGCAAACCCTGCCCAAGACAAACAGAGTGCTGTAATTTTGTCTGAAGGTAAGCCCAGAGCTGGATCCTTGCTCCAGGGACTGGGGAAGCACCTTTGATTACCAAGGACAGCCTACCAGATTTGGACAATGGGGGAGCTCAGGGTGAAGTACTCACCCAGGCAAGTGAGCCTGCTGTGTTTCCTGGTGGCATAGTCAACCAAGATTTGATACAAGTAATCAGGGTTCTTGTGTTTGAGGTCTACATGCTGCATAAGGTGTGTGTAAGGGGGTTGGATCAAAGACATTCAACTTAGGTCCATGGGCCCAGATTTAATACATCCGAGGGTACTGAGGGAGTTGGCAAATGTCATTGAAGAACCTTTGGCCATTATCTTTGAAAACTCGTGGAGATTGGGAGAGATCCTGGATGATTGGAAAAAGGCAAATGTAGTGCCCATCTTCAAAAAAGGGAAGAAGAGAATCCAAGGAACTAGATACCAGTCAGCCGTACATCAGTCCCCAGAAAAATCATGGAAAGGATCCTCAAGAAATCCATTTTGAAGCACTTGGAAGAGGGGAAAGTGGTCAAGAATAGTCAACATGGATGCACGAAGGGCAAGTCATGCCTGACCAATCTGATTAGCTTCTATGATGAGGTAACTGGCTCTGTGGATATGAGAAAGTCAGTGGATATGATATAGCTTGACTTAAGTAAAGCTTTTGATACGGTCTCCCACAATATTCTTGTCCGCAAGTTAAGGGAGTATGGATTGGATAAATGGACTGAAAGATTAATAGAACGCTGGCTAAACTGTCGGGCCCAACGAGCAGTGATCAATGGCTCGATGTCAGGTTGGCAGTCGGTTTCTAGCAGAGCGTCCCAAAGATCTGTTTTAGGACCGTTTTTGTTCAATATCTTTATTAATGACCTGGACGAGGGGATGGATTGCACCTTCAGCAAGTTCGCAGATGACACTAAGCTAGGGGGAGAGATAGATACACTGGAGGGCAGGGATAGGGTCCAGAGTGACCTCGGCAGATTAGAGGATTGGGCCAAAAGAAATCTCATGAGGTTCAACAAGGACAAGTGTAGAGTGCTGCACTTGGGATGGAAGAATCCCAAGCACTGTTACAAGCTGGGGACCGACAAGCGAAGTAGCAGTTCTGCAGAAAAGGACCTGGGGATTACAGTGGATGAGAAGCTGGATATGAGTTAACAGTGTGCCCTCGTAGCCAAGAAGGCTAATGGCATATTAAGGCGCATTAGGAGGAGCATTGCCAGCAGATCTAGAGAAGTGATTATTCCCTTTATTCGGCTTTGATGAGGCCACTTCTGGAGTATTGTGTCCAGTTCTGGGCCCCCCATTATAGAAAGAATGTGGATGCATTGGAGAGGGTCCAGCAGAGGGAGATCAAAATGATAAGGGGGCTGGAGCGTATGACCTATGAGGAGGGGCTGAGGGATTTAACATAAGAACATAACATAAGAACGGCTGTACT